TATTCCAATGGCTTTCCATATTTTGGCGTAGACAAGTAATATATGTGTACTTTCATTTATGAATTTGTGATCCTTTTTCTCTGTACTGGTATATATATATATATATGAGGAATATACGAATATATATATAGAGAATGGCATATAGAGGCCTTCGGGCATTGTTCGTGGTTTACCACAAAGGCCTGCAAATGCCAACTTACAATGAAAAGCTGAACAACAACCCCACGAAATCCACAACCTTATATTGCACGCAGGATCTAAACAGATGCAGAAATACGATGCTGTTTGATGTTTGACAAATTTTGATATTTTTCTCTATTTTTTGCCCGAGAATTCGTTAGCCTTTTTTTTATGTCGAACAGGTCTACTATGCTAGAGGAATATTAATTCATATAAGTAAATTTTTACCGAACTTTTCTGTTATTACATATACCATTTTCTTTTAACAGAATTTTTACTCACAAAATTTTTTTACTGGTAAAATTTGTATTTTGCCGAAACGTTATTTGACTGAGCTTTTCTTTTCACGAATTTGGCATATCAGTTTTTAAAAGTCAAAATTTGTTATAAAATTTAGCCGACATTTTAAATTTTGAAAATGATTTACATTTAGTGACACTAAAGATTCGGGAACAATACATCAAAATGTATACAATAAATTAGACAAACACAACTTTTGCCCATATTCGAATATAAGATTATATATTTTTGGCCCCTTATTTTTAGAAATTTTACCTCATTGTTAAAATCCGTCGCAATGACCGATAGGTGAATTTATGGGTTTAGCATCTCGAGATTAATAGTGACATAAGTCATAGTCGTTAATCATCGATTAAGTGCTCATCGATTGGTCAGGGCAATTTCACGAATTTTCGTGAATTAGGAAAATGTTCCCCTTATATTATAACCGGGTGCCTATATATAGTACGTATATATACTAGAAATCTATGGGGGGCACCAATGTCAGCCACCAGTATGTCACCATACAGACCAGCACCCCAGTACAATAAAATACGCGATCGATATGTGCACTCGACAAAAACGACATGGGATGATAAACTTGATAAAAGAGAAAATCACTGCGTCAAATCAAAGTTTTAAAACCTTTTTTCTACAATATTTATCTTCTTTGTATGGAGAATTCTATATACTCTTTTAGTATATGTTTCCATCAGTTATATTGTAACATCCCGATTTTTTTTATAATTAGAAAACAAACAAAATTTCTGAGACATATGAATTTCCCACAAAAAACAATGGTTAGAATTTTTTAAATAAAAAGTTGAGTAAAGAAAAATTCTGTAAAATAAAGATTTTAACTAATAATTTTTATTGAGAAATTCATGTATCCCAAAAATATTTGTATAACTTATATGTATAATTATATTATTGAAAAAATATGGATAAAATGAATTGTATTTTATTAGTTATATGAAATGTATTTTTCAAAAAAAAGAAGAAAAAATGAATCATCGTTTTATGAGACCCTTCTTTCGGGATGCATAATCGCAGCAGCAAAAACTGATTGAATTCCCCTAAAATCCAAAACCTTGGGCTCAAAGCCGTCTGTCGAACTTCCTATATATATGTGTACACATTTGATATATATCGTCATGAGCATAATAGTTCTCTATCGAAGCATTTAGCCATTTAGTATTATTGGCGAGATTTGGGGAAAAACGATCATCACGCGTATACTAACGGATTCGTCGCAGCTTGCACCTTGTTTGCAAATAGATCTTATATATTTAAAAATGAAACTCATCAAAATTAAATCCTAAGCATTTTATATCAGTATATCGAATTGAATTGTATTTTTTCTAAATTTTTTTCAAGTACACATTTTTTATATACAATTACAATTTTTATAGAAAACAAAATATTTTAATTTTAATATCTTATTCATTTTTATAATATTTGTGACGCGCTCTAAAGAAAGTGACGTCTAAGAAGTAAAAAAAAATATAAGTTATTTTTATAATAGATTAAAATGAAAATACACTAAGAGAATTTAGACAAAATATTTAATAAGAAATGATTTCGATTTTACATATTATTAAAAAAAGTAACTTTTAATCGTACATAAAACTATCATAAACATAACCTATAATTTTTTTGCTTATTAGGTCCTTTCTTTAAAGCGCAACACATTATATATATATAAATTGCATTTGTTTAGAAATATATTCAATGAATAGAATTTTCTGTTTAGAGAAAATATAGGAATGCATATGAAAATATAAGAGACTTGACAATAAAAAAACCCCTCAACTTTGAAGAGGATTTTATGCAACCATGAGGAAAATATTATCCTTCAATCGACGTCCTTTCGTCGTGTTATTTTGATAGAACGTTTTCCGTTGTTCTCAATTTGATCGAACGGTTCTAGAGTTCAGGAGAACCTATTTATTTTCCTAACGTTAAACCATATAGAGAGGGAACACACCCACCATATATAGCCCTTGTCACAAAAATGGCGACCTTCATCCTTATATACTCCTCATAACGGATCCAAAAGTATATTGTTCCATGCATTCAAACTTTTTAAATAAGCATTCAATGCGGAAGTTCGCTTCTTTTTCATTTTATTTTTTTTAATATCCGACCGGGTGTTCTTTTATTGCTTCGGTTAGGAATTTAAAAAAAAAGTAATAATAAATTTCTATTTATGTACAATATTTTTATTTTATTTATTTATTAAAATATTCTGTTTGTTTGTTTTTATTATTAATAAACGTGTTGTTTTAATAGTAGATTTAAAAAAAATTATTTCATGTTAGGTTCTTTAAATCAAAGAAATATTTTTGACATGCTTGTTGAAGAAAGGGCACTAAAGAGAAAAAAATTATAAATTATGTTTATGATAGTTTGGATAACTTTAAGATGGTACTTAAAACTATCATAAACATAACCTAATACAATATTTTGCTTCTTAGGTCATTTTCTTCAGAGCGTGTAACATTTAATCAATTTAAGTAAATGTTTGGTTCAGTTTATTAAATTTTTTTGTGTTAACAAAATTTTTCGTGTTTATTATTATTATTATTATTAGTGTATTGTAATTATATTATAGCAGTATAATAATTTGATTAACTAAAATTTATTAATTATATTTAAATAGTAGATTTATTTTTAAAAAATTGTTTAAATATTGTTAAATATTTGTTTTTAATTTGATATAAATGAATAAGAAATTTGAGCAAAATGTGAATGTGTGTGGGATTTTAATAGAAAATCATGTTAAATTTGTAATCTATAGGATTATAGTGGTAGGTGCAACTCAATTTGTGATGCATCTGGATCTATCGTGATTCTAACAAAAGACACGTGACCCTTATGGCACGTGCATTCGTTCATTCTATAGTCATTCTTGTAAAGTGAATTTGAAAATAATTTTACTGTTCCTATTTTTCCCCTATATAAATGTAACATAGTAATCTATTCCAAGAATTTTTTAAAAGTCAAAATGAAATAAAGTATCTAATTATAAGTCAATAATTGACAATTTTACACACAAATATCAATATTAAATATTTTCGTAAAATTCCCAATAAATTAAAACAATAACCCTACACGGAGAGAAATCTGCTGCGATTTGCGCATGAGCAAGTCCAAAGGAATATAGCTGGACACTTCCAAGCAAAAACCATAAGATTCCATCTGAATATCAGGTGAGACTCATACAATAATACCTCGCTCACTTAGGATTTTTGCTTGAAAGCGTCTGTTACTATATTCCTAAGGACATGCTCATGCGTAAATCGCACCAGATTTCTCTCCGTGTAATAAATTATAAAAATATATATTTGTAGAAGTAAAAAGAAATAAGAATTTTTGATGTAAAATATGATTTATTTTATTCAAAGTAGAAATTCTGTACAATATTTTCCCTGAATCGATCATTCCTTTTTTTTATAATAAGAGCACAATATGGGGGGTATAATTATTATTACTATACTAGGATACATTCTAAAAAATGTTTAACAAAAAATCTCTTTACGGTGAAAAAGAAAAACAATATGAGATCAGAAGTATCGAGATCAAACACTATGACTTATAATATATCACTGCGACTAGAACAAAGAGGAACCTAAAAAATCAATATAAAATTTATTAAAATTTTACGCTTACTAAAATAAAAATTATTCTCTAAAGCCCGCACAGTCTCAAAAAAATTGAATTATTTCTTATAAATAAAATCGAAGATTAAAAGACAAAGTTGACTTATTATAAATAATTATATTGAATCTTATTATCTTTATAATACAATATTTAAAATAGAGAATATTTTTCTTAAAACATTAGATAACAATATTCTTCATTTTTTTTAAAACTTATTCATATTTTTTTTTTACATTCTGTATAAAATTATTGTAGTTGAACATATATTGGCGACGTTATATTCCTAAATATGAATTAGTGAAAATTTTAACTAATATGTAATTAGTGTCTGATTTTTTGCTGTAATGAATTAGTTCATTTTTTATTTTTTCAATTTTATACTTCTTTTGTTTTTTTAGGTTTTTTATTTTTTTTAAAGCAAAATATTAGTCACTAATTCAAATTAGTCACAGTTTTTCCTAATTACTACTAAAAGGCCTATATTCCATTACAAATATACATTATTTTAAAGTATTTCGATTGATAATTATAATCGACACTCTAATTTTATTTCAATAATTAGAAATTTAAATTAGTCTTTTGTTTTGCATTTTTTTTATATGATATTGCATACAAGATATATACTAGTACAATACAGTACAACTTTTAGTATGATTTTATTATTAAAATTTTTTCTTTGAAAATTTATCTTTTATATACGATTTTTCACATCCTTTGGGATAAAATTTTTAATTAAATTAAAAAATTGATTTTATTTATAATTTATCTTTATATAATATTATTTTTTATCTTCTTAAGCTATTAAAAAATTGATCCTTTCACTTTTCAATATAGTAATATATAATCATTTTACAAATATTTATAAGTAAAAAATATATATCTATATCTTGATTATATAAAACTTTATGTACATTTCTTACTATTATAGAAATACTTATTGGACATTTGAACTTTAAGGATTTTAAATATATCTTCAATCCTGCACCTTTACAATTTCTAATCACTTTTATACATACTAAACAGTTTATTATTGTTCGTTACACTGAATTTAGAAAAGAAATTTTTTTAAATGAATCAAACATTTGTCTAAATTGATTAAATAAATTTGATTTTGAATTGTTTTCATTTATATCAAAATAATTGAGAGTAATTAATTCTGTGAAACCAAATATTTGATCGATTCAATCAAACTGATTTTCAGCTACATGTCAAATAAAAAATGGAAAATTTGTTGATTATTGCAACGCAAGAATAATAAATAAATAAATAAAATTCGTAGAAAAAATAATTCTAAAGACATTGATACATTCCCTGATGTTGCACATGATGATGATGATGATTAAGATTAAGATGATGATGGTGATGGTGATGATTATGTTGATTTATAGGAATTTGTTGATTATTATACATTCTTTGGTCATAGCATGTTTGATATTGTATCGGTGGACTAACACTACTACTTTGATCACTATAACAATCGTATTCTTGCCATTCGGGCATAAATCTTTCCTGTGGATAAGGAAATGTTGAATGTGTTGGTCCCAATCTTTTTTGTGCAGCAACAGCACAACTTCCTGTCGATGATGTTATCATATTCCCACTATCACTGATACTAACAGTCACATTGCCAACATTAACTGTTATTTCGCCACTTTCTGCATTGCCCAATGTTTGTGATAATGCCCAAATATAATTGTGAGCAAAACGTAGTGTTTCAATTTTTGTTAATTTTGTGTCCTCCGGAAATGTTGGTAGCGTCATTCTTAGCTTCTCCAATGCATCATTCAACGTATGCATCCTGTGTCGTTCACGATCATTTGCTTTTATTCGACGATTTCTTTTCAATTTCAGCACCTGCACAATAAAAGAGACGCATTCTTATTATTATTTTTATTTTATTATTGCCATTATTATTAGTTTATTTTTATTATTATTAGTATACAGGTGTGCTTGAGTCAATCAAAATTTTGTTTGGTTTTAATAAAAAAATTTGGTTCACTTTTTTTCTTTGATTGGAAAAATTTACTTAAACCAAACATTTAATTAATTGAATTAATAATAATTTTTAAATATTTAAATTAAATAAATAATTTAACGAAATTTGTTTAAAACAATAAAAAAAACAAAATTTTATTTAATTATTATAATTTAAAAAATAAAAAAAGGAAATTTTAAAACTACCTTTGTAAATGATAATTAAAAAATATTTTTTTTTAATAAAAATAATAGTTACCTGTGTTGGACTCTTGCAACGTGTATTACGAGTCTTTTTTCTTCGTTCTTCTTTAATTGGCGTAAATAAATCGGCCGCATTTTCGTGTTTAGGAGATTCATAACTGACATCAAATCCAGAATCCGAAGAACTGGATAATTCGTCAAAACCTCCTTCACTACAGTATGAGTACTCAGAAGACATTTTTTTTCTATTAATTTTGCTTGTTGTGATTTCAACACTTTTTTTTAATTGCACTTTGTTTTTAGTTTTATTGCAAATTTTTTTTGTATGTTAAAAAATCCAATTTTTAAACAAAATTTACAACCTTTGAGAAACTCTGTTTTTAATTTGTTAGACTCAACGGCATTTTTGAGTGAAAAAAACACTGGTATAAATTTAAAAACGCATTACCGAACCTCACGGGGTACAAATTCAAACTGTACCGGTGCCAAGGGTTCAGGGAACATATATACCACACCGTTTGGAGGGTTTTTTACCCCCACTCTATCTCTCTCGTAGAACTGAAGAATTCACCCCATATCTCCGCCCTCATTCCCCACTTCCTGGTACACAAGACGCGTGCCATGCTTGTTAGAGGATTAGAGGTTTCGAGGGTGATTAAACCGCTTTTCAATTTTTTACTTATGAAAACTATGCCTGTTCAATTGTTTCAAAGCAAGAAAAATGCATTTAAATACTGCTTATGAACAAATGATCAATTATTTAATGAATAAATACAAATTTAATAATAATTATTATTATATAAAAATACATTTCACTAAAAAAAAAATTAATTCAAAAATAATCAATTATTACTATATTATCTAATAAATATTTATTATTTGAATTAATTTTTTCCATTACGTTACACTGTGCAACATTGAATAATAATAGAAAATTTGAAAATAAACAATATAAATAAAAAATTAAAAAATAGAAAGAAAAATGCGTAGCTAAAAAAATTCTAAGAGAAGGAGTGTTATTTATTATAATAATAAATAAATAAAAAGACAATAATACATTAATAATAAATAGATGATAATAAAAATAAAAAATTGTGCAGAAAATGGTGCGGCAGTAAATCGGTAAAACAAGAATCAAAATTGAGGGGTGTGTTTTCTACAGATTTCTCCTTCTTCTTTGTCTTCTCTCTTTTTAACAAATTGTCAATCTCAGAGAACTAAGGATCTCTTGTTTCTTCTTGGAAACAAAAGTTTATAATTCCTTGACACTAAAGTGTGAAAAAATTAGGTTCACCATATATGAACGCTTTTCCTTTATACCTGCAAATGAAATGGGTTCCGCCCCTCTCGAGAAGTAGAAGCGATGCAATGCAAAATTTCAAAAGCGGTCTCGCTTTTTTGATGCTTCACGAGCCTGCCAATTATTTTTTTCGCCTCATGTCAGATGTAGAAACGCCCTTGTTAAAACTGTTATATGTAGTAAAGCTCTGATTAATGTTGTCCTTATGTATATACATTTAGTTATATAACACTCTTTTGACTTATGGAAAGCAGTTCTTCTTTTCTTCTAAATAATGACTACATATATATATATATATATATATATATATATATATATATATATACGTTTGTCTTTTACTTTGAAACCATTTTTTTTTGAATTATTAAAGATTATTTATCGCATATATCACGCGGCATTGCATCCAAAAAGAAAAAAAAATTATTTTAAAAATTATCTTAAATTTAATTAAACCTTAAAGTAAGGCAAATTTTATACAAAAACAACACAAAGGAGTTTTTTATTTCAACAAAATATAATTTATATTAAAATAAAAACAAAACTAAATTGAACTGGTTTTGAGGCGCACTAAGAAATTCGTATTTTTTAAAAAATCGGGAATACTATCAAAGTTTAAACCCGGGAGTCTTGAACAACAAATGTATGGCGCACTTTTTGATTGGTCCAGCGGATGCTGAGCCACACTCAGATAAATTTTTTTAAAAATTTCGAAAAACTAAATTTGCGAGATAATCGTTCGGGAATACCACCAATAAAATAGGGAAAAAGTTTCGAACAAAAAATTTATGGCGCACTTTTTGATTGGTCCAGCGGATGCTGAGCTACACTCAAAAATATTTTGGAAAAATTTTCGAAAAAAAAAATTTGCAAGATAATCGATTCGGAATACCACCACAGTAATTAGAAGAAAGTTCTGAACAAAAAATGTATGGCGCACTTTTTGATTGGTCCAGCGGATGCTGAGCTACACTCAAAAATATTTCGGAAAAATTTTCGAAAAATTAAATTCGCAAGATAATCGTTCGGGAATACCGCCAAATTCTTTAGCAAAAAGTAGCGAACAAAAAATGTATGGCGCACTTTTTGATTGGTCCAGCGGATGCTGAGCTACAGTTGAAAATAAATTCGGAAAAAATTTCGAAAAAATTAATTTGCGAGATAATCGTTCCGGAATACCACAAATAAAAAAGGTAAAAAGTTTCGAACAAAAAATGTATGGCGCACTTTTTGATTGGTCCAGCGGATGCTGAGCTACAGTTGAAAATAAATTCCGGAAAAATTTCGAAAAAATAAATTTGCGAGATAATTGGTCAGAAATACCACCAAATTCTTAACCCGGGAGTCTCGAACAAAAAATGTATGGCGCACTTTTTGATTGGTCCAGCGGATGCTGAGCTACACTCAAAAATATTTTGGAAAAATTTTCGAAAAATTAAATTCGCAAGATAATCGTTCGGGAATACCGCCAAATTCTTTAGCAAAAAGTAGCGAACAAAAAATGTATGGCGCACTTTTTGATTGGTCCAGCGGATGCTGAGCTACAGTTGAAAATAAATTCGGAAAAAATTTCGAAAAAATAAATTTGCGAGATAATCGTTCCGGAATACCACCAATAAAATAGGGAAAAAGTTTCGAACAAAAAATGTATGGCGCACTTTTTGATTGGTCCAGCGGATGCTGAGCTACACTCAAAAATATTTTGGAAAAATTTTCGAAAAAAAAAATTTGCAAGATAATCGATTCGGAATACCACCACAGTAATTAGAAGAAAGTTCTGAACAAAAAATGTATGGCGCACTTTTTGATTGGTCCAGCGGATGCTGAGCTACACTCAAAAATATTTCGGAAAAATTTTCGAAAAATTAAATTCGCAAGATAATCGTTCGGGAATACCGCCAAATTCTTTAGCAAAAAGTAGCGAACAAAAAATGTATGGCGCACTTTTTGATTGGTCCAGCGGATGCTGAGCTACAGTTGAAAATAAATTCGGGAAAAATTTCGAAAAAATAAATTTGCGATATAATTGGTCGGGAATACCACCAAATTCTTAACCCGGGAGTCTCGAACAAAAAATGTATGGCGCACTTTTTGATTGGTCCAGCGGATGCTGTGCTACACTCAAAAATATTTTGGAAAAATTTTCGAAAAATTAAATTTGCGAGATAATCGATCGGGAATACCGCCAAATTCTTTAGCAAAAAGTAGCGAACAAAAAATGTATGGCGCACTTTTTGATTGGTCCAGCGGATGCTGAGCTACAGTTAAAAATAAATTCGGAAAAAATTTCGAAAAAATAAATTTGCGAGATAATCGTTCCGGAATACCACCAATAAAATAGGGAAAAAGTTTCGAACAAAAAATGTATGGCGCACTTTTTGATTGGTCCAGCGGATGCTGAGCTACACTCAAAAATATTTTGGAAAAATTTTCGAAAAAAAAAATTTGCAAGATAATCGATTCGGAATACCACCACAGTAATTAGAAGAAAGTTCTGAACAAAAAATGTATGGCGCACTTTTTGATTGGTCCAGCGGATGCTGAGCTACACTCAAAAATATTTTGGAAAAATTTTCGAAAAAAAAATTTGCAAGATAATCGATTCGGAATACCACCACAGTAATTAGAAGAAAGTTCTGAACAAAAAATGTATGGCGCACTTTTCGATTGGTCCAGCGGATGCTGAGCTACAGTTGAAAATAAATTCGGGAAAAATTTCGAAAAAATAAATTTGCGATATAATTGGTCGGGAATACCACCAAATTCTTAACCCGGGAGTCTCGAACAAAAAATGTATGGCGCACTTTTTGATTGGTCCAGCGGATGCTGTGCTACACTCAAAAATATTTTGGAAAAATTTTCGAAAAATTAAATTTGCGAGATAATCGATCGGGAATACCGCCAAATTCTTTAGCAAAAAGTAGCGAACAAAAAATGTATGGCGCACTTTTTGATTGGTCCAGCGGATGCTGAGCTACAGTTAAAAATAAATTCGGAAAAAATTTCGAAAAAATAAATTTGCGAGATAATCGTTCCGGAATACCACCAATAAAATAGGGAAAAAGTTTCGAACAAAAAATGTATGGCGCACTTTTTGATTGGTCCAGCGGATGCTGAGCTACACTCAAAAATATTTTGGAAAAATTTTCGAAAAAAAAAATTTGCAAGATAATCGATTCGGAATACCACCACAGTAATTAGAAGAAAGTTCTGAACAAAAAATGTATGGCGCACTTTTTGATTGGTCCAGCGGATGCTGAGCTACACTCAAAAATATTTTGGAAAAATTTTCGAAAAATTAAATTCGCAAGATAATCGTTCGGGAATACCGCCAAATTCTTTAGCAAAAAGTAGCGAACAAAAAATGTATGGCGCACTTTTTGATTGGTCCAGCGGATGCTGAGCTACAGTTGAAAATAAATTCGGGAAAAATTTCGAAAAAATAAATTTGCGATATAATTGGTCGGGAATACCACCAAATTCTTAACCCGGGAGTCTCGAACAAAAAATGTATGGCGCACTTTTTGATTGGTCCAGCGGATGCTGTGCTACACTCAAAAATATTTTGGAAAAATTTTCGAAAAATTAAATTTGCGAGATAATCGATCGGGAATACCGCCAAATTCTTTAGCAAAAAGTAGCGAACAAAAAATGTATGGCGCACTTTTTGATTGGTCCAGCGGATGCTGAGCTACAGTTAAAAATAAATTCGGAAAAAATTTCGAAAAAATAAATTTGCGAGATAATCGTTCCGGAATACCACCAATAAAATAGGGAAAAAGTTTCGAACAAAAAATGTATGGCGCACTTTTTGATTGGTCCAGCGGATGCTGAGCTACACTCAAAAATATTTTGGAAAAATTTTCGAAAAAAAAAATTTGCAAGATAATCGATTCGGAATACCACCACAGTAATTAGAAGAAAGTTCTGAACAAAAAATGTATGGCGCACTTTTTGATTGGTCCAGCGGATGCTGAGCTACACTCAAAAATATTTTGGAAAAATTTTCGAAAAATTAAATTCGCAAGATAATCGTTCGGGAATACCGCCAAATTCTTTAGCAAAAAGTAGCGAACAAAAAATGTATGGCGCACTTTTTGATTGGTCCAGCGGATGCTGAGCTACAGTTGAAAATAAATTCGGGAAAAATTTCGAAAAAATAAAT